AGAAGAAGAAGAAGAAGAAGAAGGAAGTGGACTGTGCAGTACTTCAGTAACTCTAAAGAACAGCCTAACACTAGAGGGTGCCAAAGTACAGTTGGTGGTACATGAACCATAGTCTGAGAACCATTCTATCCATCTATTCTAGACTAAAATATATAAACATATTATGAGTGTATAAAAACAAATACATTATTACAATTCTTCAAATGCATTGTTGCCCATGCAACTGCAGTATGTAGACAGGTATCTGTGTGTAAGTGTTTGTGATTGGTCCACGTTCAGAACATAAACGTGTACATTTACCTTTTCTTTTTAGTTTCTTTCATTTTAAAAAACCAAATTCTTATTTCCAGTATTCAGAGAGGTGTTGATGACAGTCACAGTTTGTGTTTTATGGTGTGGCCCATATGTACTGTACCACAGTCAGTCAGTGAGTCACTCCCACAACAACAGCAGAGAGAGCGGTAATGAACGCTGGGCTAAATCTGAACTTCACACCCACGAGCTGCTGAAATAGACGTGAAGATGAGGAGCGAGAAGAAGAAGAAGAAATCAACCATTATGATCTGTTTTACTCAGCTACAGGTCTGGTCTACAGACCGACCACAGACCGACCACAGTTGGTCTGTAAATGATCAACACCTACACTAGTGAATTTCTGAATTTAAGCAGAACGTGATTTGGTTCTTGGACCGTCCAGTAGGTGTCACCACACTGTGTCATCCTACATGGTAGGAACTACCTCCAGGCAGGACTATGTTTAAAAATGCGCAGCCACATTCTGTCTGTTATGTAAAGTAAGAGGATGAATAATTCCACAGATTAAGTGTGAAATGACTCACTGGCACAAAGAAAGAAAAAGTTCAGGATCTATTTATGTTCAGCTGTTCAGACGACTTCCTGTCGTTCACCGGAACGACGGATGAAGAACTTTCAAGAACAGAACATCTGCGGAATGGAGTTTATTTTTTAGCCGAAACTTTTCCGCCTGCAGTGGCAGCACAAACACCAGCTGCCTGTAAGAGCGGCTCGACACCGAGGTAATCTATTTAAAGGGATTAGACGAGTGATTATGAAGCAGCAGGACAGAAAAACACACATAATCCCCGCAGAGAGTTCCCTCCGTTTGGTCAACTTTGGTTGACTGGATTGAGAGTTACAAACTCGGGTTAGAAAACTGACTGGGAGTACGTACTGGTAATAATTTGTGGTTCTCAAACTATGGTTTGAGTACCTCTGGTGTTACTTTGGCTCCTTCTAGTGGAGGGTTCTGACTTATTTTTTATTTTTTACTATTTTGTAATAAAACAGCCACAAAAACCTGTTTAAATACAGTTGTAAAAACAGACCTCCAGTTAAAGACCACAGCGACACTACGTTGTTTTGATATCTGCTGATTAGACTCAACGGCCGCTAATGTTTCTGTTTGACACGACAACAAAATCTCACAGGGAGTCGATGCACAATGGCTGATGAGCCGTGTGTGGTCCAGGAGCCACAGGTTGTACACCCCTGCTCCAGCAACAAACAAGAGAATTTAATGTTTCACATTTTGGGGCATAAATGAACAGAGCATCACATTATGTCCTGACAAATAATAACTAAAATGTGGCAGTGGTGGCTCAGTGGTTAAGGAAGCAGACTTGAATCCAGAAGGTTTTAGGTTCGATTCCACCAGCTGCCAAGTTGCTGCTGTGTGTTCAGCTAAACTAGATTAGAAAGTTTTGTTTTTGAAACAGCAAAACTAAACAACAACAATCTTCCCAGAATTCCATGTACAGTATTTTCCATTTGATGAACAGCGTGTCTAACACTGACTCCAGTGACAGTGTACTGTGCAGTGTTGCAGCCCACGCACAGTCGCACACACACAGCATGTCCAGTTCCCATTCACTTTAGCTGTGCGTTACTATAGAGACACAACTGAGGAGAAAACAGGCTGGAAGACAGATATTCCTGAGGTCTGGGCTGAATCTTAATAATGAAGAAAAGACTGGAAACACTCGGAATGGAAAAAAAAACTGGCTGGTGCCTGCTGATACTGATCCTGCTGCTGCTGATACTGCTGCTGCTGCTGATACTGCTGCTGCTGTAATACATTATAAAAAGCCTCAACTGTGGTTTTTATGAATCATGCTGTTATATATATATACTGTAAATATACAGGCTACATATTTATATGTATATAAATTATATATGTATATGTATATATATATTCACACAAAATGTAATACTTGTAAATATACATGGCTAAAGTACAGAGCTCATACATGGACATGGGGAAAAAAATATAAAAACATTTCTTTAGCTTTGATTTTTTTTTTCCTCCTGTGTCTCTTCTGGGCCTCCGTACTAAACAGACTGGTTTAGAATTCAGTGAAAAATACTTCATTCATGCTTTGCAAAAAGATCAATCAACTGACAACACAAATCTATCAAAACGACCAAAACACAACCTTTACTAGGTTAAAGCAGTAACACGTCAGTGTTAACTAGTCATTAACCTGAGCAGGTCACCACCAGCTGCTCCACTAACGAGGACAGAGGACAGAGTTTGTCCTCATCTAGACCACAACTGTAGTCCACCAACATCAGGTCAAGTCCTTCTATATTTAGAGTCACTTCTGTTTTTGTTTTTTTGTTTTGGTCTATTTTTATTTATTCTTCCATTTGCCAGTTTTTTCCTTCTTCCTCTAACCTGCTTTTATATCGACTAGTTTCACATCTGCCTCTTTCTGTCCTGATTTTTTTTTATATTTCTGCTCCATTTGAATGTCCC